TGTAAATGGAAATTCGCTAAGTCTGCAGGTTTGCTAAGGTGGGGGTATTTGTTAAATACTAGTAAGTAGTTTTTATTACCAAATGACTAAAAACTGGAAGAGAAGGATGTGGTGTAATTACTGTATATATCTATCAACAAATAATATTTAATTTGTACAAGCTAACTTTTTTTTATTATGTTAGATAATTGCATAAAATTGCTGTCAAGTGGAATAGTTAACCTAAGAGGCTCTTTTATTTATTATTTTTTAACTCTAGCTTTTAGAAAAAGTGGAGACAACTTATCCGTATCACACACGAATGAGGTAAGGGCCTGGAGTGGGAGATGCACTGTGGCTGCGCATAATAATAATAATCAGCATATGAGAACATGACCCGCTGGTGGCGCGACAGTCGCCCGGGCTTGTCACCTGTAGCGAGGGTGCGTGACTCAGGTAGCCAGTCACGGCGACAGTCGCGTGCCTCATCAATGTCGTCGCGTTGTTGGTATGGTACGGTAAGAGTGGCTTTAGAGCAGGCTCAGTCGTGAGCCACTTGAGTCGCCAGGCAAAATAAGGCTCTTACTTGTGAACCTAAGGTGGACTATAAACAAGCAGGTTGCAGCACTATAATATGATTAATTAGTGATTGACTGGATTTCAACCCTAAACTTCCAACAGACCAATTAAATTTAATCAATTAAATTCTAATTGCTATAGCATCCACAAAACATACAAAAAATATGTTCTACAATTATTAAATTAACGACCGGTAATAATTATCCACAAATAAACAGGACTGTTGGGTGCTTGGTGAGGAAGCTGAAGGACATTCTACTCAAGGTCTAGTGCTATTGGCTCCACACGCTACATCCACCACTACTGAACTACTCCACTATTCCTCCAACTACTACAAGGATCACTCGGGTCTGGTACTAAAGACAGGTGAGCCACACACTGTTAGTGTAGCCAATATGTTTATTGGTATTAATGGTCCAATAACAGTATTGAAATGTAAAGTTGGTAGTAATTTTAATTTAAGTTGTTTCAATTGATAACATTTTAATACATTTTGAAAGTATATTTTTCTATTGAGCGTTTTTAATGTGAAAACCACTTTATAAAATACTTTATTTTACAAGAAAATAATCTAAAACTTTTAATTTGTATGCTTATTAGAATTTTTAAGATACAAATTCTCCTGAGATAAAAAGGGTGAAAGCCAAAACACCCTCAGAACATTTTTCAGATATAAATGTCATCTGAATAAATTGAATAAACAGTATTGAGTTTTTAATAATGATAACAATTTTGAATTTATTTTAGAATATTAAAAAAATATTTTAGAGAGGTACATTTTGATAATGTTTTCAAAGTATTTTTTTCTTTTGAGCGTTTTAATATAAAAATCACTTTTTAATGCAGACCCACTTTATTTTACAAGGGAATGATCTAAACCTTAGTTTTGTATGTTTATTAGCATTTTTAAGATGAACAATTTTCTAAAATAAAAAGGGCCAAAGCCAAAGAGTAATCTCTGTGGGTACTCAGAAATTCACCAAATAATAATAGTTTAATTGAATGAATTGCATAACAGTATTGAATTTTTAGTAATAGTAAAAAAAATTCATGTATTTTAAGATTTAAAAAAATTATTTTAGAGGGATTTTAAAAGATTTTTGTAAAAGAATAGTCCACCCCTTTATTTGTTGGGTTTATTAACACTAAACAATAAACTATTTTAATTTATAAGTTAGGTTGAAGAGTATGTAAGTCCTAGAACAAACAGGCATGTTTGCAAAGCGGAATTCAAAAGTGAGAGGGATGTGTGGCCTAATGTATGAAAACAGCAGTTAGCAGTCATAACTTTTGTTGGGATCTTGTACTCTTTTGAATCCTTAAAACTTTCAAGAGGTTCTTCCATGACGCAAACAAATGCAAATAAAAATCTTTTTGTCTTTGTTAATTTGTAGCTGGTTAACTAGTGGTTCTTGTGTTTGCCTCGTAATCAAAATGCGGTCTGATTAAATCTCAGAAAAGTCAATAGCTTATTTATGATTTGAAATTTGACTATAAGCTGTCATTGATCAATGACGTTTTTATCAAATGGTTTTGGCTATAAAAAAATGGGATGTTTGATAGAAACATACCTACACACATTATCTCACTCTATTCAACACTCACTTGAATTCATATACAGCAAAAAATATGTAGGCTTATACAAGTTGTGTCATGGTCTTCCTCTAAAGCTTTGAAAACAATTTGACTTTAACTACAGCATCCTACAGACAAGATTTATTTTCCAGGAACTAGCTATTCATCTATAAAATCTACACGTGCAATGAGTAAATTCCTGATGTCTTTATGACGAGACAAGGAAAATGCGTGATGTTAATCAGTTCACATACTCGCGTGCACAAGAGAAAAACTAGAAAACCTTGAGTGTTTCGTTACAATGGCAAGGCCCTTTCCACATCCCATTACTAATAATTGCCTTGAATGGGACTACTTTTTGAAATCGTTCCGCCCCTTTAATAAGCTCTCATTTAGGTGTCTTATCATAATCTATTTTAAATAATTTTTTTTCCAAAATTATCTACTACTCATCTTTTAACCAGCAAATTTTCTTTTTAAAGTTATTCTGCCATTTCATTGTACCAAGTAGCACTGACAATAAGAAAGTAATACAAATATCGCACCTTACACTGTGATAAGAAGTATTTCTTTACTTTAGCATGCATGGTGTAGAATCAGTAGTTCAAGGGGTGATACAGAGAAAGGTAAGTGTCTTAAAAAAAACTGTGAGTCTTGATTTCAACTACACTCAAAGAAGTTACTTCATGATATATTAGGGTATCTATTAAATTGCATACAAATCTATCTAAAATGTATAAAATTAACAGTGGTCTATCTTCTTTAATCTCTCTTGATATAACTATTGTATAAAAAATAAATCAAACTGCTACTTTGGTCATTCTTTTGATTAGACAACTGGAAATAAGATTACCAATGATGACACTTAATGAATCTAAAAAAAAATAAATCTGGATTACCTATACAATAGTTTAAATAAGTAAAACCTTGTTCAACTGCCAAATACTATTCTCTTAATTTCAGAACTTTTCATTTTTTTAATACTGTATTTCCTTCTTACTAAAATACTGTACCCTACTGGAAAGATTTTGAAACTATAGGGGATATTTATTTCATCCTTTTCTATTCTGTATGGAATTTTTTTATTAGCGGATTTCCCTATAGGGAAGAGGCTATTCGTAGGTGGCACGATAAGACTTGGACCCGGGACCGATATACTTTTTTCATTTTGATGTCCCTAGAGGCCATAAACACTATTCGTTCAAATTTTAATATATATATATATAGCCTATGTGTGTGTCCGTGAACGCGATAACTCTAGTAATTTTGGTCCAATTTTGATGAAATTTGGCTTGGAGGTGTAGGGCAGGATAAACTTGAAATAGTTCGCGAACCAGCGTGGGTTTTATGGGATAAAAATGGAATTTTCCCATTTTTGAACCGAAAGACATAACATTTTGAGCTTTAAAGAAGAGTACAGTATATTAAAGCGCTGTTGTATGCTTAACAGTTACAGAGAAAATTAAAAAAAGTGCAAATTTAAAATTCCCATGTTAATGGAGAAAATGAAAACTGTCCTAATTTACTTGTTTATGGATATAAATTATGTTGATCAAATTTGGAATTTTTATTTATTTCATCCTATGCTATTAACGTTTGGTTGAAAAACACTTTTTACCTTCCCCATAACAGCACACCTAAAACACTCCGTAAATCTAATGTAACAGTATTTAAATTCGGAAATAAAAAATATGTCTTATTTATGGAAATATTTTAGTAAAAGTTTTACCAGACAAATTGAAATTCAATTTGTCTGCAGGTTTGCTGCAGCGGGGGTATTTTAACTGTAGTAATGGTAATTAAAGGGTCTCCAGTAAAAATAAATTCTGATTAACCATCATGCTGACATGACACATGGAAATAGAATCGTAAATCTTTCAAAGAGAATTACAAATGCAATTTTGCAGCATGACTTCTATAATTTCATAATCTTGATTTATGATTTTTTAAATATAGGCTATATGAGCACAAACCAAAATATTGCCAGTCACTAGGATAGACCACATTATTGAAGTTACATGATGCTAAATTTCTACAGGTGTTTTAGTGTTATAGTTTGTTAATAGTAACGCCTGCTTTTGCTTTAATAAATTATACTAGAGTAGATAGAATTAATTATTCTTGATATAACATCCTAAAAAAGATAAAAATTCAGTAACAACTATCAGACAAAAATTTAAAATTAGTAAATGTGATGTGGTTTACAATTAATCAACAGTACACATTTATTGTTGATAAAACATTAATATTACAGAATTGAGGATTTTTTAATTTTTATGACAGTCAACCCTAAAGCCATGTAAGATTTATACCTACCATGACATGTTGTGTATTGTGTAAACAGCTTTACGTTGGGTAGAAATTATTACTTCATCACCATTATCCATAGATACTATCAAAAGCTATTGAGCAAACAAGCTTGTTATCCCTATCTCCCTCATCTTCTCACCATTAGGGCTCAATTAATTTATCCTTCACATCAGTATCAAGGACAGAAATTAATTTTAAATAATAATAAAAGTATTAGGTATACGTAACTAGTAACACAGCTTCAAACATGATCAAACACTTGCTACGTTGTCAAACGTTTTCCAGGAGCAAAATAGTTTTGGAACTATAATAATTTTCCTAAACAAAACATTAACCATGACTGATCATACAGTAATTATTTTCCCCAAGCGAAGCTAGGTCCCCAGTTACTGTTACTAAGATAACAAATAACCAAGCATTTTAATGCTGTATAGACAAGTAAGGATTGAGTAAGTGAAAATACCAGTTCAGCAAACTGTTGACTGTCATAATTAATCTGTGACATAGAAGGTGCAAAGTTTGCAGTCATGCTTCAATTGTGCCACTCATTTCATGATTAGAATAACAGTGCATCATCTTAGAGAAATGTGTTGAAAGTGAGCAGAGGAAAATTACAAATTAAGCAGGTAACCCTAGGATAGTAGGAACATGTAAGTAGATTTGAACAGCTTTAAGTTCCTTAATAGATAGGGTTGATATTGTATAGCCTAGGTGTAGTGATTTTCTAGTTAAACTTTAAAAAAAAAACATGGAAAAAGTATAAAATTTTTGAGGGCATATTCTTATTACAGAATAAGGTCTAACAGTGTCTGATAGTAAAAACAAAAAATATTATGTACATAGTGCATATGACTAAAAATTGTTATGCAACAATATCATTCAACTAATGTAGAAGCTATTAATTTATAGTAAGTAATTTCAAAAGAAGTTTGGCAACATTGCATCAATTTTCATAACACTGTTTCATTGAGAGAATTTCATATTATACAGGGTGCATGCCCGTTCTATGCACGGGGATCTTACAGTAGTCAATTGAAACCTTTTAGCGAATTTCCCATATAGGGAATAAGCTATTACCGTAGTACTCATGGTAAGACCTGGACCCGAGACCGATTTAATTTTTCATTTTGAGGTCCCTAGAGGCCAAAAACACCATCCGTTCAAATTCATATATATATATATTTATATATATATATTTATATATATATATGTGTGTGTCCGTTAGCGCGATAACTTGAGCAAACATGATCCGATTTTGATGAAATTTGGTACAAACGTGTAAACCTACGTTTATTTGAACGAGTTCGCGATCCAGCATAATCGGACCATGGAAACGGGGGTTTATGGGGGGTTTTATGGGGTAAAAATGGGTTTTTCCCATTTTTGAACCTAAAAACAAAAAATTTTGCGATTTCTTTCTAAACCGTTTTGTAGGGCTTAAAAAAAGAAATAATTTAGTATATTGAAGCGCTGTTGTATGCCTAACGGTCACGGAGAAAATTCAAAAATAGTGTAAAAGTTCCCATGTTATTCTTATGGAGAAAATGAAAATTGTTGTAGTTTACTTGTTTATGGGTATATATTGATAAAATTTGGCAAATTTATTTATTTCATCCTATACTATTGACGTATGGTCAAAAAACACTTTATACCTTCCCCGTAGCAGCAAACCTAAGCACTCGTTAAATCTAATGTTATTTAAATAGGGAATAATATGTCTTATTTATGGAAATATTTTAGTAAAAATGTAATCAGACGAGTTGAAATTCGCTTAGTCTGCAGGTTTGCTGCGGCGGGGGTATTTGTATTAAGAACAGCAGTTGGTATGCATATTTTCAGGTATGCTGGCAAACCTATTATTTTTAAACCTTCACAAATATATGTTGGTTGTTTCAGCGAGATGACAGGAACAGTGGCAGTGTCTGATCAGATTGCCAAGGACCCCAAACTTCGCCTAGCTGACGTACAACAACTAAGGGAATGGCTCAAGAAACAGCCACACCTGCCTCAGGCCCTCCCAGGTACTGTGAACTCTATAGCACGAATGTATCAACTTAGATACTACAGAACCAGTAAGCCATGTATTTCAAATAGTTTGGGCAATACTAGCTGTCCTAAAAACACCATAACCCTCAAAACGCTTATTTACTTTGTACTTATACCTTGACATAGTTTTCACGATAAAAGATATACTTTTACACCAACCACTTGTTTACTGCAGTTACTAACTGGTTTGATTTTATATATTTCGCCGTTGACTTTCAGACATTCCATTTTTATGGACCAGCCCCTTTTTATAAAAAAATGACGTAGTTAAATGAGCCACTCATAGTAAAAAAACATTGATTTTCCCTATAGTTTGTGTTACTGTGAAAGTTGATGCTGTAAAAAAGATGCTATAGTAAGTTCGCCTGGGTTAACAATATGGCGTAGTCGACACAAGACAGTAACTTAAATAAACATAATCTGTATGTGGCTCAATTCAACAAAGTTAATGACTACAACTTCCTCTTGGGAATACAATGTCTAGTTCTACTCATAGTCGAAGGCTTAAAACGCATATAACTGAAAAGAACCAATGTTAATCCAACTATAGTGAGGCACAATTGCTATTTTCAATAAGGAAGCGTATCAGTTATTTTGGTGAGTCAGTGACTAAGTTAGTGGCATGACAGACTGCAAAACTAATGTTATGGGTCCGTTTCATTTATCAATCACTCAAAATCCATTAGTTAAGTTCATTCATGTACTGTACCTCTGTAGAACTTATTGTCTTGATGCATTCCACACACAGGCCTTTGAGGCCTATGTGGATAAGCAAATGCAAGGTTAAAACTACCCTAACCTTTATTTAAATCAATTTAACTAGCATAATATACAATTTTTCATTTATTGCCTGTAGACGAGTATCTCGTAGCTACAATACACAGTTCGGAGTACAGTGTGGAGCAAGCCAAACAGTTGTTGGTAGCCAATGTCACCAGCAGGACTAACTATGTAGAGATCTTCCACAACAGGGACCCCTTGGCTAAAGACAAGCAAGCTATCTGGGACCTACTGTAAGTAACAAGCTCAACCACCCAATATTGCTGGTATAGATAATTGTGTGGAAAATGTAATTAAACAGTCCCTTATGCAGTAGTGGTGGATTAATGTGTGTTTCACCAATTCACTTGTAGAGCAATAATAACGACCTATTGTCTTTTTTTAATTGCCATTCCAAAATTCAACAATTTTCTTTTTTCTATTTGACAGCAACTTAGCAGACGCACAGGTAGCACTGCCTATGTCTGCTAGTTCCTTTATTTTATTGTTATAATTTTTTGCTTTATTAAAACTCGTATAAAATATTTTAGTGACAAAAGTCTCTGTCTATTATACTTTATTTAGTTATAATCACAGCTTGAAGCCTATGTTTTTTGGAATAAACTATATTCATTCGTACATTCATTCATTCATTCATTCAGAGAAAACTTATGTGTGACATACTCTTCCCCAAAGTCACCAATATTACTCCTGTCACTATAAGTGTTCTCCAAAAGTTACCAAAGACCATTCCACTAATCTCCCATCCCTCGTGACACACTGTTTGATCAGAATTTTATTAATACTAGAAAAACGTTATAATAAGTCCCTATTAGGCCTAGTATAAAAGATTTATAATAAACAAGTATCTTGCCTCTAAAGATCCTAAAACAAAGTAAAACCAAGACCAGAAACTCATTTATCTTTGAAAACCTGTTCACATAGAATATTACCGATATATTAAAAAATGCTATGTCAGTATTTAATCTAGTTTATTAAATTCTAATTACAGTAGACTCCCTCTTATCCGGACTCCTCGGGACCGAGGCCAGTCCGGATAACGGGTTTTCCGGTTAAACCGACGTCCCCAAAAACTCATTAAAACGGACTGTTTACTGTGATATTCGACTTAAATTTAGGAGAGCATTGTATTTAGACACGTGATCACTGGTCTCAAATCTTTCCCAAGAGAACAGTCGTTTCAGTACTGCCCACTTCCTGCCGATCTAGTCCGGTTAAACCAATGTGCTGATAAAAATTGTCCGGTTAAACAGATGTCATTTCCGCCGAGTGTAGTCCGGTTAATCCGATGTCCGGTTAAAAGGTGTCCGGATAAGAGGGAGTCTACTGTACTTTCTAATCACAAAATGGTATAATGATTCTGATTCTATGATTGTTTACTTACTTGTAACTCTTTAAATAACCCTCATTTCATCCTAGAGCAATTTGATCCCTCTATTTTTTTTACCTAGCAGATTTAAGGCTAAGCGATTTATGGAATAAAAACATCCCACTTTATTTCCTTATTGAAGGAACCTGCTTTTGTTTTCTGGACCACTCTATATAGTTTATAGTAGTAGTATATAGTTTATATAGTATATAGTTTATTACAGGTTGGATATGTTTTTACATACACTTATATCAAAAGATACAAGACTAAAAATACAAATTTTAACTTCTTTAAGAGTTTATATTGAACCCAAATAAAACATAACAGATTTATATTTTAACATTTTCCTCTTGTGTATTAATTTTAAGTTGAACATTGATATTTGTGGGGGGGGGGCAGTGGAACAGTGGTCCAAGACAAATATCTATGAAACATCTATTTAGGCCTAAATATTTATTACTATCGTTATACACTATCTCCAGACAAATAATGATTTTGCTAATTGTCACATAGTTCTTTACTGTGCTGTAGCAAAATTGTCCTTGGAGCGGAGGGATAATAGTATGATGGAGAGAAGTTACCATTTCCCCCAAAAGGTTTTAGTTCCAGTTGAGTACCAAATTATAGAATCGAGCAATGGTCACAGTAGGTGTCAAATATATTTAAAAATGTAAAATAAACTCTTGTATACAAATCTGTAACCCTTCTAGAAACCTATGGGTGAGCACTAACGTGACCAAAGACAAGCACCGTATTTTGTTCGGCGGCCTCAAGAACTACGATCCCGAGCTGTTCAACTTCCCCTCCCTGCTGAGTGTGTTTGTCAGTGTTGTGGACACCACCATACAGGAGTTGGGGGTTTGTCCAGGATATGTTATAGTACTGGACTGTAGAGGGGTTACTCTCTCACACCTTGCAAGGGCCAACGTCTCACTGATCCGCGACATACTCAACTTTGTACAGGTCAGATTATTGTAAGACTACCAACTACCATGTAAATATGATATCAAGCTATATAGTTAAAAAATGCTATTGATTGTCAGTAAGCCATTTTTAATAGGCTGTACTAAATAAAAGTGATAAATACCATAGTAGCCAAGCACACAACACTTTAGAGGTTATACAAAAAAGGTTAACAACACAGAATGTCTCAGATTGTGAAACAGATGGTGTGAATATAAGTTTTCAAACAGATGAAGTATCGAAAACAAATAACTAAAATTGAATGCCTATTTATAGTACTAAATATTGGAACTCTTAAGTGCTTCTAGGAGGAAACCCTTTGGTAAAATCATTATGAAACTGTTTATCTTTCCTATTTGTAACCTTAATAAAGAGTACCGGTGTCTGGTAGACCAAATATCAGACTTCTAACTAGTCAGGAAGTGAGTAAATGAGTGAGTGGGTGAGCGGTTAAGCGAGTGAGTGAGTAAACACTTGGTTAAAAACAAGATTTCAAACAAGTTAATTAGAAAATCATTCATAACATGTTGCTTAAGAACACGTCGACATTAGAAAAGACAATATTTTGTTAAAATTATTTTGTTGAAAACAAAGGAACAAGAAAGCAGATACAAAAAGTGAAATATTTATAATAAAAATTACCAAATCCAATAGTGGAAACGATATAAAATTGCTAATGATATGAAATTTTTACAGGACGCTGTTCTAATCAAGATTAAGGCGATACATGTAATCTTCGTTTCTCCAGTTATTGACAAGATTATGTTTGTTGTGAAACCATTCCTTAGGAAAGCTCTATTAGATATAGTAAGTATAAATTTTAATAGAAAAAATTTATTAAATAAACAAATTGATTGGATATTATCAAATCAAATTATGTAATAGGTCTCAATGTTCTAAATTGATATTAATTGATTTATATCAATGATCATTATCCGGAATTAATACATATTAATTTATGTACCCATTTTATGTTTTCTCAAAATCTAATAGTTTCTGAGATACCAATGGTGGCACAGGTAAGTTGTTCACCCTGTATATAATATTTAATCAGGAAAATATAAAAAATAGTAGCATTAATAGACTTTAAGATTTTTTTTTATTTTTTTGACAGCAGACTTTCTCCCAGCAAAACTTGTTCCCCCAAAAAATATTTTTTTTTCTCAGCTCTACTTCCACACAGGGGAAATGAAGGATTTCTACAATGAGGTTCCACGTGAACTTCTTCCTCCAGAAATTGGGGGTACCTGGTCCAGTCACAAGCAACTAAATGGTGGGTAAAATCAGTGTGTGTGCCTTATAAGTGGGTAATCCTAAGTTCAATGGTATAGTTGGAGAGGTATCAATGCTATCCTCAAATGAAAAAGGCTAAAATCTTTATGTTAGTGTTTATGTTCTTAAATTTTCTTGGTTAAACTAGCAATAGGTCAAATTACTTAAATTCACGACAAATTTTTTTTATTGACATTTTAAGTTTGTCAATTCAATTTTGTGGGATTTAAAATTGAGATTTTACACTAGATTATATCTTAAAACTTGAACCAACAAGACCAACAATTCTATTCTGGTTTGTAATTTAAAAATCATAAACTAGTGATAAATGAAATAGTGATGAAAAATCTACGAGTTTACAGCAATCTAGAATCGTTCACTAAGTTTAGGTTTATTAAAATCTACTATTTAGTCACAAATAATTTCAAAATTATCTATAATTTTAACTTATTTTATTAGACCTAAAGCTATTTTTAGAGTTTGTTATGAGTATAGTTACTGTCAAAACTTAATGGCGAAACGAACATAATTATTGATTGTAATTACAAGGATTATCAGGTTTGACATTAGCTACGAGTTAAAGTCTAAGATAATCAAAGTATTGAGTATGATCTAAGTAAAACTCTTATACTTTCTATTCTATGAACTCATTCTGTAAAAAGTTAGACATAGCTCAGAAATCAAGACAAGGCTCGATTTGAGGGTAAACATAGCTAAGGCATTCCAGACCCCTCCCTAAGATATGCTATTAAAATTTCAACTTTTTTGAAGAAATAATTCTTAAATAAGTGCTCTAGATGCATGTTTTTGTTTACTCTTAATAATTACGCGCTAGCATGCAAAAAAGGCTACAATCCTAAAATCCAGAAATCCGACACCGAATATACACATAGTAGATAGTAAATAGACAAATAAATAAAAATCTTTACAGAGCTATCACGGGACAGACTGGAGCGACAGAGAGACTGGTTGAAGGAGACAGAGCGTTGGGTGATAGACGAGAGTAAAGCTCCGGACAACAAGAAAGACAACTACAGCGTCGCAGGGTCTTTCCGCAAACTGCAGCTGGACTGAGTGATATAAACATTGATGAACTTTTGACTGCCCATAGAAGTAAACACCCCCCATGTCGAAGCTGTGACCAGTTTTAAGAATGATAATGAATGAAGTTGAACTGAGCCATTGAGTTGTAGTGAGTTGAGTGTCAATTACAAATGTCTGTTCAATAGGCTAAGCCAATCTAAATAGGACAACTTATTTTATATACTACATAATCTTTTATGTCATACCCGGGTGTTAAAATATAAAAAATACAATTTTGTTATTACTGCACTCTATTAGCGCTCATTCAAATAAAATAATAGGCTGAAACTGATGTATATAGATTGGATGTCTAATTTATTGATCAACAGTTAATGAAAGCCTGTCACAAAGCTGTATTGATAGTCAAAGGTTGAACTTAAAAGATCATTCCGTAGAGTCTATGAGCAAAAAACCGTATATTTCAGATTATGAAAATGTAAATATGCATTGTGTTCAACATTGTTGATTCATATCTGAACAATTTTGAATTATGTTAAGTTAATGCAATAATTGCAATACATTAGAATATGTAATGTATGTTATATGTGTAAAATAAGTATGTATGAGTATGGAATATGAGTGTTGGCTCAAAATATGTCATAGAAAATATTTTACAGACAAATTGTGTCAATCATTGAGTAGTGCATCAAAAATTTAATTGTTTAAGTTGGAAGATGTTTTTTTTTTCTGAAGAGACTAACACCTTATCAACGGGATGAACAAGTTATAAAAATCAGATACAAAGTTCTTAGTTTAAATTAAGTTCACTATAATATAATTTTATGTATTATCATTTTTAATTTTTTTTTTATAAAAGTAAAAACCCTTACACACATCTTAAGGGTATATTATCTAAAAAAAAAACTCTTAACCGTTATTTTATCACTCACTAAAAAACAGAAAAATTATTCTATAAATTGTATAGTTTAATGGAATTGTATTATGTATTAGGGTTATTCAAAAATCATACATTTCAACTAGGAGAATTTGAAGAAGCAAAACCAAAATGTGAGCAAGAAATAAAACTTTTACCACCTTTTACTCCAATACAGTAAGAGAAATTTGTCTAAATCCAAGTTGAAAACTATTACTGTACTGTATGCAATGATTAATGAAAAATTTACGGATAAAGCTTACTATTTAGAGATTGTACAAATTCTACTATTAAAAAAAACTATTATAAAATAATGTATATGAAGATTGATTGATCTAAGATTGTTTATACATAATGCATAATTGTCGTGACAATCAAACAGTGATACAAATTATCAAAACTATATTATTGAAATACAATTATTATGGTGGTTAAAAATTACGGTTTTGTTTTTTATTTACACTCCCAAACAGTATTCTCTTGAACTCTATTGACAGTAACATGAACAAAAGACCTTGATCATCTGTTGGTTAAAACACCTCAACAAGGCGTATCAAATTGCTGACTGCACGTAAGCATTCTCCAGGGTCAAAAGGTCGAATTCCGTTTGTTTTTAGACGAAACATACAATGTATGTGTATTGTGTGTACAGTATATAAAAACTAATCTAAATAAACACTACATTCGCTGTCAAAATAGTGAGAGCTACAACTGTTGGACTGTTTACCAGCATTAAAAAATTAAATTGTATCATTGTTTATCAGTTTAGGGAAATAAAGAAAATCTTTGTCTAAGTGAAGTTGAATTTCAGACTAAAATGTGCAATGTGTGACACTTGTTCTATTAATAGTTCACAACTTCATAATTTTGTTGAGCAAAGAGTTAGATATTTTAGCTATAATATTCTTGTTCTTAAAGTACCTATAACTTTTAAGATGAAGTCATTAGGTTTTCAGAAGTTGTACTCGACTAAAACAAGAAACACTTAGTTTGGTAACTAATGGACTTAACAATTGTTTTAAGTCCCATTAACAACTTTTGATTTTACCGACCTAAACAAAACTTATGGTAAGGAAGATGTATCTAGATAGATAATGTAAACCCCGATTTTTTGCATTTCAGACAACTTACTTGGGAAGATAATCATGTAAAAATGCGTAACTCATGATTGTGTTTTGTAGAATAAACCCACATAATTAAACATGGAAAAATAGTGCATCAGAATTATTTTATTTGGAAGATAGTAGAAATTAACATGAATCATCTCTCAAAACATAACTCATCGCGCGCTTCATTAGCTCCGGATACCACTCGCAAAATCCGGAACGGATGAGTCAGAGACGCGCGTCGATGACGTAATCGAGAAGGCAGTGGAAAACCAAACAAATCAACAGGACTTAAATATTCTGTCGTTGTTCCTCATGTGACAGCGACGCATATCGCTTACGCAAAACAAAGCAGACTTATCAACCGATTGTTATCTTATCAACTGGAACGAGCTTGAGTTGGTCGTGCGCCGCGAAACGTTTGTGATCGAAGTGGCAGTGGCAGTGCGCGGAAACAGCTGTGCGAGCCCGCCCTACAGACAGAGAGACAGAGACAGTCAGCTGCTATTCCTCTTCCACACAACACACCTTTGCTTGCAGGTTATGTCGTCTGGATAGTGGAGTGGTTAGCTCGCAGTGCGGTGTTACAGTGATCGTTCCAAATTCCAAGTATTACTGTATGAGGTGAAGTGAAGTAGTGAAGAGCGGTGGGTAAGGTTATTTTAGCCTATTGGAAACATCGGTGTACAATCATCCAGGAATAACTTTTTCTGTCAACATACACTCTGCCTTCTGCGGTCTATATTGCACGCTTTCACTTTCACACTTCATCACATTACACTGCAAAGGTATCGAGTAAACAAGAGTGGCAACGTTTTGTTTTTGTATACTAATCACTTAATAAATTACATGTAATACTTGAGGTGAATGTTTCTAAAACATATTTTGTTAAAAAAAAAAATCTAAATAGGTCAAGGCCAAAAGTGTTTTGCTAACCCAACCAAGGAAGTCTATCTCACAGACAAAAAACGTTTCTAATAGGTAGTATATTTTTTTTTTCTCAAACAGGAATTTTGTTCAAAAATCAAAAAGTCACTTACAAGCTGTTTTTTTAAATAATAAATTCCCAAGCATTTAATCAGTGTTTTCCCGAGATTTAAATATATTTTTTTAGCTTGCCAACTAAATAGCATTCAAATGAGATTTTGTATCAGGTTAGAGCAATTGCAATAATTTTATTTAAAAGTAGGCTATTTAACCAGCTAACGGATTGACTTAAAACACAACTACCTATTTCTCCACTGTCAAAACTTGTCACTATTCCATTTGCTTTGTGCACAAAGGCAGTTAAAAGTCAATTATCAACTATTTGAGATGAGGACATACCACCTAGGTGTATATTTTAGCCCTGATATGAGGGAAGGATAAGTGTAGAATGTTGTGAGATAATCTGCGTAGCTTTGTTACTGACCAAGATCAGCTGGTTCATCAGTCGGGATCAAAATGTATTAAAAGGCCAATGATCAGAACAGCTGAGTCCGGTTTTGAACCATCAAAAAGTTACTGACTTTTCTCAGGATCGAACCGGTGATTTAGTTTAACATAAAACAGTACGTATGACTAAATTGCACAGTATACAATAGAAGGAAAATATTGATAAATAGTAAACACACAACTGATACGACAACATTTATGTGCACAGTTTAAAAGATTTTACAGCCATAAGCTTGTTTTAACTCTTTTAACAGATCTAGAATATCACCTGTGCAGCTTCAACCTTAAATGTAGGTAACACATTTTGGTAAGACCTGAGTATGAGATTAGGTCATGAGGAACAGTGGTCGGCTATGGGCCTACTTTCACCATTACTTGGAGTTGAGTTGCACAACTGAACACACCTCTGCTTTGTTCAAGGCCACAACAGCCTTCAGCTGTGTTTCACATCAATGGGTCCTATCTGTCCATGACTAATGCAAACCACACTTTATACGCTAATCTATAATATTATAAAATATAGGGACGGTTCTTTAGCAACTAACTGTATATCTGTTTGTTGTGGGTAAACGCAAAGAAACGGGATCAACTGGACTAGAATTGTAGCCTATAGCAACTCAGCCAACATATAAGCCTGTTTAAATCCTTGTTACTTCCCCTAGCAATCCCCAATAAACATAAAAACTTTTGAGGTAGAACTTTTGGAAATAAATACTAATTGGTGTCTATAGCACACAATGCAAAGTTACCAAGAACTTCTTGCAATTGAGTTTAGTTTCTTTAATGAATGGGTGAGTGTGAACGTGTTTCCTAGAGGAGGTTTAAAGAAGAAAGCAATTCTCATATTTATTCACAATATCAAGAAGCACAAATTATGAAACAAGTAGGCCTATTTGTAAATATTTTACTTTAAGGAATGGTTTACATATGGTTTATACAATACGGCAATGAACACTCAGTTTTAAACCAAAAATAATTTTACTCCAAATCAGTTTGGAATTAATTGAAATGCAAAAAAATATGTAGCATATACACATTTACCATTTGAGATAGGGACCTATGTGCGTATTTTAACCCAAATATAACTGAAGGATGAGTATAGAATGAATTATGGAGTGGATAGAATGGATTGCAATGCATTGTGCAGCTTTGTTAGTTAACCTACTAAGACTAGCTTTTTTATTAATCAGTTAGGACCATTTAAAAAAGAGTCCAAAGATCCAAGGACAGCTGGATCCAGTTTCCAACCATCAAAAAGCTACACACTTTTCTCAGGCTCAAACTGGCGAGCACTTTAACCACTGAGCTATCCAGCTTTATAACACTTATACAATACATACCCTACTAGATATAATGTTGTTCAGTGGAAATAAAAACCTTTTAACAGTACTATAATTTTGTTGCATCACTATCACATAGACTATTTCTAACAACTACTGAGAGTGGGCTACGATTAATTTCTGTTTCAAAGAAAAGTCCAGTGGGAACACAAAATAGAGTAATGTGATATTCCAGTTCCAATTGTACCAATCAATGGGAGCGAGATCCATTATAACCAGTGTCGATTTGCTTTGAGTCACTTGGATGGGCTTCTATTTGTGAATAAGTGATTTATGTCCCTGAGGTCCAATCAAAGGATTCAATTTACTTTTTGCAATGTTGGTTTGATTTATAGTTATGAAGATACCTAACACTAATCCAACGAAATCATAAATATTAAATTGATCACTCCTAGCAAAACATTCTCTTTTCTCTTGTAACTACTACGTGTTTATAATTGGAAAATAAAGTAGCATAGACCTAGTCTAACATTTAAACATAAAATTCCATCATGTCATTTGATCTTACAAATGCATTTTAAAATCATAAAATTTTGTCAATATTCACCTCATTATGAAAAATTTTAACAAACAAGCTAACTAGGGTATGTTCAATACAGTTTCTGAAACCCAACAAATGCCGGAGTCAGGTTAAGCCCATGTTACGCAACAGACAAGTAGGTGTGGATTAGATAAAAAGCATATCAGCCATTATGATGTATGTGCCTTAGAAACCTGTTGATAAACTATCACAAGCTAATCTGTCGCAATAAAAGTTACATGTATCAATTTTGAATCCACACCTTACACGGTCCAGGTTGTCGACGTTAAGTGGAAACTGTTTTATTTTCAAGACAAGAAGGATTCTGTGAGACACACTACAGTCCTTCAACATGTGGAAAATAACACTAGAGGAGGAATACAAGAAAAATCCAGAATTGAAGGAAGAGCAAATACAAGAGATTCAAACATGGATAAAGAGCCAGCCACATTTGCCCTCTATCACAGGTTAGTAAAGTATCAAGGATCTGATAAATGATTAACAAAAAAATAAATACTGAATCTAGCTGTTGG